CCCTCATACACAATTGTAATAGTGCCAAGTGGAAGAGCAAGTGTGCTTGCCACTTTCCGTTGGGTGACTGATCATCTTTGGGTGATCAGGTTCGCCGCGCGAACATCAAAGAAACGCAATGGATTAGGAGTGTTACACTTGATGGATGCTGCCCTCCCGTGAACTTTTTAGCATCATCTCACGGACTCCATCTATCACTGTTCATTGAATCGCCTGACGTTGTTACCACTGTTCACGTACAGCTAAGGTACCCAAAGCAGGTGTCCCCTGTAGTCCCCCACCCACAACGCCATGGTGTGATGGCCAAGGTCCAAAGCCTATAGATTATAAACACCCGCGGATAACCTCGTACTGTCGTTTATGATTCAGCAGACGCTATCGAGCGCTTCAAATTCTCTTCATCAGATCGCCTCCATAAACTAAGCAAGCACGCACGCCGCCAGGACACTCTACGACAAAATTGAACTTCATGTGTCTACTTCAGCGCCACGTTTTGACCAACAAGAAACAAAAACTTGAAACAAAGGCGGCCGGAAGGTAACAACTGTACCATCCTCCAGTAGAAAGGACATTCGCGTCTCCTTTCGTCAAAACTCGGCATTCAGCATCTTGAAGACTACTAAAGTACCTGAGAAATGTCTGGAAGCGACGGAAAGCCTGCTTGGAGAGTAGAGCTAGAGAGGTTGGTAGCAGAGATCCTTCGAATGAGCCCCGAACAGCAAGCCCTCGAATCAAACCAACATTTGGCTGAAACCTTGAGATACATTCAGACGTTAGAGTACGAGCAAGCATTGCACGAGCAAACTCAAAGGAACCTTCAGCAACAGTAGAACGCCACAGGGAAACAGAGATTACGGCACGACGATGCCTTTCCAAGCAATCTGGTCCGCTAGCAAAAGGTGATCAGAGACGACCAAGCAAGCCATGAAATAGAGGAGTATTTGACTTATCAGGGGATATTAAGTGGTCTCAGCTGATACTGGAGGAATCATCACATTCGCTTTCAAGGAGCGGCAGTTTTTTCGAGCGATCTCTACAACACCACGGTCTTTACCTCTACCAAAGAACAGAAATCAAGTTCTGTAAATAGTTGACTTACTCATAAGAAAATCTAAAAAAACAAATCATCGTTATCAAAATATTCTCAATCACTAGATCTTGACATGCCGTTGTATTCCCCCAGCAAAAGTGGGCGTGAAAGTTGGGGTAAACAGGATCGTGAACCACCAAAAGGAAAAACCTCAAAATGCATCAACCAAAAAAACATACAACACCAGGTATTCGCTGGTCGTCACCGACCCAACTACTAATCCGGCCCTCATTGGCTTATCTATGGGAGAGCGGACGGGATCCCGAGTTTTCCAATGGGTATGGTCGTATGTGAAGACTTGAGGCGTGCAACTTGATTATGAAGTGCTGGTTTTGCGGAGCAGGTCTGGGGTTCAGCGCCGGCGGCTGGATTCGTGTTCTCTGTGCATTTTAGGGGCTTCTGAATGGAGAATATGATGACTTGGTACCAACTAGACACAATATATAATGACTTAGTAAGAGGGTTGGGTCAGGAAATCATTTCCACATCTCGTTGTGAACGGCATGGCGAATCGCCTGAACCGAAGTTTTTGCAGGACAGCACGCATGGTGCTACAGAATCACCTGTCAAATCCGTCAGTTTTATTATCTAGGCATGATTCTGTAAAGGCACTGAAGCTGTTCAAATTTGCTTTAACATCACGAGCCCTTGAGAGCTGTCTTGCCTCTAGCCCCAGACTGAACCCCTCTGTGGAATGGGTGAACCATAAGGTCTGCCCAGAAGGCCTATCACTGAACAGGCTTGATTAGATTTATCTTTAATTATTCTCAGCGTTATTACTGAGTATCTGTCATTAATTCACCAGACTACTTGTCCGTTTGATTCCGCTTGCTCTTCGAATGTAGACTATCAGACGACAGACTAGCAGCTGAAACCTCGTTGTGAGTGCTCTCGTCAGCCCTCTTCACTCAAGTAATCTCAGTCTGCTAGATTCAGGGGTACAGATACCGGGCTTTTGAAGAAGATTCTTCTCATCATCACCGCCATTCATAAGTCTAGGTATGGAAGCCAAGGGGCTTATAGATTATGGTAGTTTGGCTCACTTCATGGTCGAACGTCTACGACTCGATAGCTAAAGAGGAAGTATCCTAGCAAAGGTACAGTAGATGTCAAGAATAAGCAAATTCTCCGAAAAGTCACGAATTGGGTGTTCAAGATCCATCTGCCAGTGTGAACTCTCACGCCGCTGAGTATCATCATCATACTCTCATCTATCAGGCGACCGCCGGCAAAAGGCTGTTACAAATGGCCTTTCTGCGTTGACTGAGATCAGACAGCTTGTTCTGTAGCTTTCGAGACAAAATGCTTGCGACAAAACATCGCAATCTTGTATCAATCTCGTCAGTGTCACAACAGGAATGATGAGCGAGAAACGAGAAGAGTTTGCCAGGGGGCATCAGTGTCAGACATGCATCGCCTACCATCAACCACATCTGCTTCCTCAAACATGATCCAAAGACATGTCCAACAGAAGCTTGTGGATGAAGGAATGAATTTGACTTGGTCCAAACTCCGGAGAGCCAACTTCCCTGGCTCTGACCATACCCCTTGGTCCGTATACAGCAACATATCACCAACAACACACTGTCCGCCTAGCCATAGACTCATCCCAAGACAGCGACCGCGAAACCGAAGGATCGCGGGCACCGAAGCGGAACGGGAAGACAATTTCTTTCGTACCCCGGGGAACCGACCCCATAACCTCCCTACCCGGCCCGAACCTCCGCGCCCGCAAAAGGTCCGATACCCCGGACCCCGGACCCCGTGCCCCCTCGCCTCCCAAGAGAAAATCATCTACTGTAAACCTCTAAAGCTCAGGCACATATCACTCCAGTGTTCATAGCATAATAGTCCCCCTAAGGAATGTGGCATGATGGGATGAGTATATGCGCAGGAAATCAGGCGGTTTGGATACCTTTTCTTGGAAAGGGTCCAACTCGGTAGATGCCGTCAAACATTCATCCTCTGCTGTGACACCATCTAAGAAAAGAAGTTCTAGAACCTTTCGGTTGCCGTCCAAGTCTTCTTCTTTCCTCATGCTCCTGAAGCTTTACTTACACTCACCCCACAAACTAAGCCTCGTCCAGACGGGAGAGTAACATCTAACAGGAGCCAAAAACAGAAAATAGAACCACAAACCCACGCCTCAACGTCGCACCTATCCTTCGCCAAACACAAAATACCAAATGCGGATAAAACAAGGCCCTCAAAAAAGGGCTGAGAGAACATTCAATATACACAAAACCATCACCTCCCATCTCAAATCCACCCGCAGGCATGCGACCGCACGCATAGCGCCCAAGTTATATAGGTCCAGTCTAGATGCCTTGGCGTTCGAAATCATCCCCAACCCCACACAGTGAACGGTCGTGAATAGATTAGGCCGTGTGGGATGTGAGATACTTCAACGTCAATAGCCTAGTCCCGCAATCTGATACGCGTTTAGAGAGCTGTTTTCTTCTCCTTCTAGCCCTATACGTTTCTTGGAAGACTGGATGGGACTAGTGCAGTAGGCGGGAGACCAGGTCGTGGTTGCAGATACCTCATAGATATTCCGGCATCGAGAACCCATCAAACTATCACGACGCTCGCGCGCGGGAATGCGCGGGCGCCCAGAGGTAGGGGAGAGGGACGGGCGAGTCTGAACGTGTTATATCACGATCCCTATCCCATAGAACCAAATGCCTACCCCCCATGTCAACTCCACGTCCAAGGCTGACTTTTAGACTCAGACATCAAAGAATACCTACCTACCTAACCCAAGAGAGAAAAGAGCAACCATGAGAGCCACCAAGGCTGAATAATTAACATGGGTGTATTCCTTTTTAGAGCAAACCCACGGCCGGTCGCGATGCGCCCCCCGACATCCAGGGGGGCCCGCCAGCCAAAACAAGCCGTCGCTCGTCCTCCCCGAGACAAGGGAACCGTGACGTCTATAGCCATGTGGGAATCCCGAATTTGACCCCTCGTTCTTTCCCCCTCCACTCCCTTTCTCCCGCTAACCCGCCTACATCTACTGCGTAAATCTTGATCAGAGCCTCGCTTGGAGCACATTCACACCGTGTCCACCGCCCTCCAACCCGCTAAAGAAAGAGGCTCTTTTCTCCCCATCCTTACACCTTCACCTCCCACCCACCACCATGCGTCCAGTCCGTCCGTCATCTGGCCCTCGACTCGCGCAAGTGTATCATCTGAACCACCTCGCCTTCAGCCCCAAACCTCACCAGCAGACCATGGGCGCAAAGGCACGGGCGCGGAGGGGGATGCCACCAATCACATCACCCGTGCCCCTTTCCAGAAGCCTTCCATCCCAGATTTTGGCAGGTTCACAGATCGGATGATATGATGCGCGTCATATTTATCATTCGGCACCCACCACCCAACCCCCAAAAGACCTGTCAGCCAGAAAGCCCGTCGGCGCCGACAGAGGGCCGGCCCCATCGGCCGCGGGGGTGGGGGCTTGGCATTTCCTGTAACCCGCGGAAGGCTGTGCGGCGTGCCTAAGTATGTGGCCTCGCTGCCGCCCCTGGTGGTGGCCCTGCTTTGCTTCTCTACTCCTTTGTAGCATGGATTATGTTTACATTCCAAGTTGTACCTGATAATAATAATAATAACAACACAGTTCGTCGGCATCGTTGACGACAGAGTCGCACTGCATCAGAACCCCGCGTTCCGCTTGTGCCGTTCCCTGCGTATCGCGCCATCCATCGTGATTCCTTTCATTCCCCTGGGAGGTGTCAAAAAGATCAGCCCTTCCCGCCGTCGCAGAGCCCCAATCCTAATTCTATACAATGTATGAGACCCTCGCTTATCCCATTGTGCCCTGTTTTGCACTATACCAAAGAGAAAGAAGAACCGTTCGACGCCAGTAACACACACAGACATGCACATGTCATGTCCCTGGCGTGTCTCAAAACATGTGCCCCAGAACCCAGACGCCGATCGCTATGCGAACCTCTAAATGCAACTCCGTCAATGCCCTCGCCGGCCTGACGGCACCACCGCCATTCTTCTTCGTCTCAGACGGCACCGGTGACGGCGCCGCCGCCGTCGAAGGCACATCGATTGTCGTAATCACCGTCGGCCCAAATGGGTACGGGAGAGTAATCGTCGAAACGACCACGCCAGACGGACCAATCGTGATGGTCTCGCCGCCAAATACCTTTGTCGTTGTACCCTTTCCTGGCCCCACCGTGAAGCTTGTGCTGTCTACAACCACCACCGATGCTCCAACTTGCGTGACTGAGGCGCCGCCCACGATCTCGTAAGTGGTGTCCGTTGCCTTTGCCCCGGGCCCTCCCACAGTGATGTTGCGCACAGAAACCCCCGAGGGTCCTATTGAGATGGTATCATCGTCTACAACCTTTGTGATGACTGTTGAAACTAGTCCGTATGTAAACGTGGTCGACCGAATGACGACCACGGACGGGCCGATGGCAGTGATCATCTCGCCGCCTGCCACGACGATCTCCGTTTGGACCGGAGACGCGCGGCTGATCGAAACGGTTCGTTTAGGGACGGCCACCACGGATGGCTGGATTGTAGTCTTCTGCCCATCGATCACGGTCGTTAGTGGAGCAGCACGGCCGGATGAAACAGTTTCCCCGGGGGCACCAGCCGCTGATGGCACAAGTGTGATGGTTTGCCCCTTCACCACCGTCGTTACCGGAGCTGCACCGCCGATTGGAGCGTTTTGATCCGGAACAATGACGGCGGACGGCTCAATGGTGATCGTCTGGCCTTCCACCACAGCCGTTATGGGGGTAGCCTGCACCCCAAACGTCGTCCCACCGACGACAACAACGTTTTGCGTTCCTGCGGGCGCAATCACAATAGGCAAGTCGCCCACCACCGTGCTGGATGGGACCATGGTGCTTCGACCGACGTTGCCGGGCCGATCAACGACCGTCCCACCGCCAATGACCTCGCTCGGGTTAATTGTGAATTCATCGCCGTTCACCGTCACCTTGGTTGTCCCTGAAGGGTCGTTCTGCGTAAAAGTTTGGTCGTTGATGATGATCTTGGTTGGGGCTACGGTGATCATGTAGGTCGCCTTGGGCGGTTCCTTGGCACTTTCACGTGGCGAGCCAGGTGGTCTCGGATCGTTATTGGGTGGCTGGCTCGAGGGCGTCGGTTTCGGCGTAGGCTTTGCTGTGGGTTTCGCAGATGAGCGTCTGTCTTGCAGGGCTTGTGTCTCAGGATCGTGACCGTATCGGGGTGTACTGATAGGTGAGAAGACCACAGAAGGATTTTTGGCCGTGGTGACGAAAGTGACAGTCGTTTCTGGACCGAGAGTTGAACTGAAGGTTGGAAACTGAGGAGCTTCGGTCGTGCAAATGTCCACACCATCGTCTGAGGTACACGAAACACTCGCAGACACTTTTGTCTTCCCCTTGCCTTCCTCCAGACCCGCAGGACTGCAGGTGATTGGGATCGTGATTTCGGGTTCCGGTGGAGTGTAATCCGTTGGATCCCCGAAGATTGTCGTCGTTGTCGTGTATACTATTGACCAAGTTGTCGGTACGGCGCCCTGCGTAGTCGATATGCAGACAACAGGTGGCTCGTAACCACCCTTGAGTGTCAAAGTCACATAATCCCCACCGCCATCGTCTGTGGGCGAGATGCTGTAATTTCCATTCGTGTAGTTTCCGCTGGGTGACGCGGATATTGAAACGTTGCTGATAGGAAAAAAAGATCTGATACCCGTGGGAGTTGCTGATAAAGACGTCGTGAACACAGTACGAGTCTGGTTGCCAGAGGCCGCAACGTTGAAACCTACAGACGTCGAACCTCGAGCGAAAGCAGTGGAAGAAGTGATGGCTCCAGTGAATGAAATTGATCCGCTCAATGTTAATGCATCTGTCGTGATGGCAAAGGCTGTGGTTTGCGTTGTGCCATTGGCTAGAGTCAGTGTTCTTCCTGCGGCGGCCAAGATCTGCGAACTGGTTTCGTCTGATGTCGTCGAAAATGAGATGCCTATCCCTGACTCTCCTGTTACTGAGGAGATCCCTATTGAACTTTGAGATCCTGCTAGCTGGTTGATTGAGGTAGATGAGAGAGTTTCGGTCCCGACTGAGCTAGTTGACGGGTTTCCTGCTTGGGTTATTGAGCTGGTGGATGGAGACGTAATTTGCACTGCAGAGCTTGTTGCGGCCGATAATGTCGTGCTGTTAAAGCCGACGGCCTGTCTCCTGCCGTGAGGAATGTGATTTACTGCCACACAGTCAGCTTCTCGGCCTTTTACACAATATCAAAATCACCCAACTTACCAAACTGAAGAGCTTGGACTGGGTTCGAAAATGCCGCCAGGGAAAGCAACACAAGCTTGGAGAGTTTCATATCGATGTGTCGTCTCGAATCGCAGTCCTTCCTTCTCCCACGCATCCTTGCCCCTTTGACGGTTAACTCCACTCGTAACTGCGACACACGAACTGGCACGGCGACAATGACCAAGTACTCGTGGCTCTAAAGTGGTCATGTATAGCCCATACACTCATTGTAAGGTCTGAGATGAAGCGGGATTCTCGGGCGATGAAGTTGCGAGGAAACGGCCATGAACGCCGGGCGCCGGGCGGCGATTTGGGTGTAGAAGGGGTTCATATTCTCTGCTGTCTTCGGACCGTAAGGTGGGTGCGCCGACGCGTAACCTGGCAACTTCGGGAGGAAGAACAGGGGAGCCAGCCAGTTAGTTAGTTCACCATTGCACCTTAACTTCCCGGCTTTGTGTGTGCCGCTGATGTAGTGTAGCAGTGACAGGAGCCATCTCATTTGAAATGGCCCGCCGTCAATCAAAACCGACGCGGCTGGGCCTCTAGCGTCGCGTTGGCCACCAAGAAATACCTTTCAAGGACAAGGGGCCGACGCGACAAAGTGGCACCGGAGCTTTAGCTGGTACCGGCGGCAGCACTGCCAGCCCCAAGCTCTTGCTCAAGTTGCACTACCTAAGTAAGAGAGCATATTTGCGGACTCGGTCCTCAACTACGAGCTCTGTCTAAGTAGCAAGACTTTGGCGTCATTGCTTCTCGAAGAAGAAGAAGAAGAAGAAGAAGACAAGAAGACGGTGTGCGACTGCAAGGAGGGAAAGGTTATGGGAAAATCCACCATTGCTGGTCAATGACGGCTGAAAAGCATCGTCTTGGTTCGCTTCCATTTGTTGATGTTCGAGTCAAGAAACGCGCTGTCGTGTCTCTCCTTCTAGGCTTTAGTGTCAACTGAAGGTAGTGCTGGCCATGAGCTAGAAATGTCTAAGACAATCCGGCCTCCGTCGAAGGGAGGGGCCAGCCACGCAGATTTGCTTGGTGGCGACTTGGGTCTGCGATTGTGGATTTATGACAATAGGGACGAGCAATCCATAGATAATCTAGGGAGTTGCTTCATAACTGACAATGAGTACGTACGAAGACCTGGTAGCAATACAGTGGCTATCAGTACTTGGCGGGAGGAGAAATGATCGACATTCTGTCAAAGGTACCTGAGAAGATCGCCCAGGCACAGCGAGAAACCCTCGCCCACAATGCGTTTGCGGCTAGTGCTTGAAAGGCTAGGCCTATAACACTCTGTATCCGTAAAGAGGCTGGTTGGTAGTCTCAACTAGCTTCGTACCTCGTCTGCTCGTCTTCCCTCCGAGAGACACGTCGGATAGTTGTTGACGATGACGGTGGGTTGAGACAAATTGTTGTGGCCCGCTTGAGCCGAAGTCTACCTTAGTGGGCACGGCTGCAACCACCGTGCGTCCGGGAGATGTGCGTCTAAATGTGCGGAGTGCAAAAATGTCTAGGACATGTAGACACTTTGAATTGTTTGTGCGTCTCCAAAGAGGTTCAGACTTCAGAGAGGCCCGGCCTGAATACCCATCCGCCGGGTGGGATTGACTGCCCAACGTGCTGGCAAATGTTTGTAGGACTGGCGCCGCAGGTCGGCTCTATGCTCCGTGTAATGCAGCCAAGCAGCTTCCCATTGATCGTTGACACGGCGCGCGGATGTCGACATGCATGAAAACCGTAAGGCTGATCGAAAGGTGGCGTGGAGGTAGGTAAGGTATGGCTGTACTCTTAATCTTGCTCATGATATGGAACATCGGAGCCAGAGTAGTTGAATATCATCTATCCTGCCGATTCGGACTTTGAGCATTGCTTTCGAGGTCTCAGTGTGACATATTTCATCACCTGGTGCACGAAGAACTGTAAACAGGGCCATCCCAGGTCTATCAAGACCGGCCTAGCGCATTTTCTCCGCTCGGCATTGGGAGAGAGATTGGATGATACCATCCAATTCTGCCTCTCCAAAATGACGAATAAATCGTCCGTAATCGGCCTCCATGTTTAGCGCACCGTTGCGCGTGGGGGCAATGAGCGAGCGGGCGCCAGGGCATGACAGGCTTCTCGCCATTTCCGACCTGCGTCTGACAGCTGCGGTGAAGACCGACATCAGACCATGGCGACGCTGCGGCGTGAGACGTTGTACCAGATGACGCGTTATGACTTCTCTCCAGTATATCGCATCGCACTTTTGAGCGGCACCAGCGTACGCGACAAGCCAAGGCACCTTGATGCAGTTGAAAATTGCCGAGCCATGGCACTGTGACAGGATCCCTTAGTGGTATGGTGGTGATCAATTTGACGTTGCCGATGACTGTTTGTATCAAGCACAGACTGCGAGTCAGGGATGTCGAAATTGGCTCTCTTCAGTTTGTTCTACTGAACAAAGTCTGTACTTTCGCGAGTGGCACAGAGATAGACATTCAACAGTGTAACTGGAATTCTAGCCTTCACTGATGAATCCTCATGTGTATAGATGCAAATGTGTCGTTGGTGCCGCCGGAGGTCCCAGCTCAGAGGGTCGGCAAGCGAGGAGGTGCCGGCAGACGCAGGCCCCGCGCCGACGGAGGGCGGAATAACAGGCTTGGGAATGACAAGCAGCTTTGAGTTCCAACTTCCCTTCCGCGGCACCCTCTCTCCGGTTGCCTTTTGGCTAGCGCCCCCCATGCGGCCAGGTTGTGCATGTGGTACTGTAAGTTCTGTGCCTGGCTAGGCTGATGAGGTGTATCATGTTGATGGATTTACAACATTGAAAGTGAAAACCTTGTTTTGTTGATCTCTCTTTCGCACGGCTCTTGACTGTCAGCTATAGCCTTCATTATAACTCAACTCAAATTGGCGACGAGTGAAAAGTGAGGTGAGGTCCGAAGAAGCCGATAGATTTTCTAGGTTTGAAGTTATCGACAAGAGGTGGAGCTTGACGAATGACAGATTCAACGCGCGGGCGTTTTTCCACATCCCGGCAATCGTTTTTGATGCTGGCAGTTTGAAGGAGGCGGGCCGGTCGGCAGTGGCGGTAGGTGTGGCTGCGATGCAGTCATTAAGCGCCTGAGCGGAACCTGTCCATATCACGAACATGCCTTAGACGACAGCAGGTAATAGGATAGAGGCAAACCGTAAGAGACGAGGCGACCAGGCGATGAGGATGGCGGTGGAATGAAGCGGAGCACAAAGTCGAAATGGCGATGGGATGTCAGAGAAAGCAGGTGAACCCAGAATAGAGGTGTCCCTGGCGATTGGCATATAAGCGGCGTGATAAGAGGTCGGGACCTCGTTCAGCTGTGGCGCGGATGTTTGGCAATGATTCCAATGAATGGTGTGAGCCTGCGAGGGCAATTGAGTTAAAGAAGGGCGCGCATGAAGGATCCATCAGTTGGCCCACGTCACATTGGGGTCGAGCCAACCCGTCTTTGCGGGACCATGATGTGCAGTGGTTGCTACGCCGTGTGGCCGCAACTGTGGTCGGTGGTCCGGTTCGATGTCTGTATGCCGGCTCAGTGTCGCAGGCCGAATCTCTTGGAATTCGGGGAAGAAGGTGAACTTGGAAGGGGAGAAAGATTCAGTTGCACTCGGCTACTCGTCCCCACATCAGCTGTGATTCGCGAGATGTCAATGGCGGCTTGTCCGTCGATTCACCGGTGCCGTTGAGAAAATAGCGTCTTGTTAGTCGTGGTTGATGACGGATGGTTGAATATTGAATATGCAGGAAGAAGGAGAGGAGAGAGGA